GGAAACCGGACAACACGATACGTCGTCCCACCCTCATCTGAGACAAGCTTTTGCATGTCTACTGTAATATACTCTAGTAACGTCGTTATGATACTCGCAACGCGAACCGAAATGTGCTTTATGCTTGTCACCATAAAACTCAAACCTGCACATTTACATTTGGAGTTACGGTGACGCCGGATGGGGTGGTTCGACGAAGATGATGTAAGTATGTTATCCAAATATGTGCTTCAAGTTTTAGTGCATATTGTTGAGAATGTTTTGTGGTCGCGACAATGGTTGTGGCGGAGATTTGGGGTTTACGCGTGTAAGATGACGCTTGTTTGGAGCAACTCGCTGATATGATAAATCAGTTTAGAGAGAGACACATCTCACTCGAGAGTTAGGGGAAGTATGCAAACAATCTAGCGTCAAATGAGCAAATTGTTTATTCGTAGCTTCGTTTATGATGCTGATGTGGGGAAAACAAATGGGATTATCATTTGTATTTAGGAATGTAATACTCTGTATTTATTTGAAGAGCTTTTCAAGCTTTGAGAGATAGATATTAGAAAGTGATAAACAAGTTTATAAGTAAATATATTGTTATTGTTTCGAATAAATTAATTTGTTTCATTTGTATACTGGGTAATAGATATATGAATTAAAATATATGAATGATGTACACTAATATTGAAGCAATGCCAGCATCGAATAGATAAGTTCGAGGACAACAATATAGGTAAGTCTAAGAGGTTCTTAAGAATCGGGAGAATAGTAATAGCTGATAACACCTAATCTCGTAATGGTAGTATTGAGTGCACTTACGTATCAAAAGTCATAGTATAATAATAAATTTCAGGTGTGAAACACAAGATTAACAGGTGTTCTTGATTTGAAGATCAAGTAGACGAAATCTGAAAAGGTAGGTAGTACATTTATAGTATAGGCAATATGATTTTATCCCATACGAAAAATTAGAGAGGAGTAGCAAAAGATGGAATTTGGTATAGAGGTAGAGCGATAGAGAGAGCTTTAAGGATAATTATACCCATGTATAAATATATAAAAGTGCATAATTAAAATATGTATGATTTATTTTTCGATGTTGACATAGACTAAGTTGCTAGTTCCTGTTCTGCACATTTCCAACACCGACGTCATATCGTAGAGTTTTGAATAAAAACATAATCCTGTAAGCCAGTTCGAAACGAAAACTCATCACACCTAGCTGTTCTATTCAAAACTGAATGCTTACCGCCCACGCGGCTGCTGCTTCCATTTTCTATTGATACATTTGTATACCTGTCTCTCTCGCGCGCTTAATAGGATTACCACAGACCGTGTCAGGTAAGTGGTTCTAATTGCCGTAAAAATCGGTGCCGACAAGGGCCGAAGCGGCGCCCGATGTACGGCGGCCCTTAGCGAAAGTGATTTATCTGAAGCTTTGTTAGACCGATGCCCTATGTTTGTTTGTTTATTGGCAGGTGAGCGGCTTCCGTTTGATTGCATTATGTTATTGGATATTAGAATTTATCCACAGCCGAATTGGTTTATTTTGTGAATCGCAGCGTCATATAGGCAGCAATGAAAATAAAAAGCCTGAATAAGGGTTGCGTAGCCTATCTATAGGAATAAGAAATAGTAATAGTTATTTTATTTGTCTATACTATAATATTAAAGATTTGATTATTTGTTTGTTTGCATCGGATACTACTGGACCGATTTTAAAAATCTTTCACCTAAGGGTAGCTAGATCATACGGGGTTGACATAAGCTATAATTTACGCGTACGAATTCGCGGGAAAACAGCTAGTGTTTTATAAACGTAGTAAATAAAAAGTTTTTTTTTATTGATGTTGAAAATACAGGAACTAACGGAATTTCCAAATAAAATGTTAGGATGTTTGTTGCCAGTGGATATTGAGACCTTATTTAATATTACATGCTAATTAAAGTAATAGTAATCTATAAAATTTAGATGTTAGTTCATTCCTTGCAGATTCTCCACTCATTATAAGATGTCGATCAACTCGTAATACAAATTCAAAATAAGTCATTAATAAAATGTTAATTAGATTGCTGTATTATTTGATGATTTCTCATTAAAATTATAAGTGACAGAAATACGGCAATAAATTTGGGAATGTGTCAAGTGTTAACCTTCAGCTGACGTCGGGGTATTATTTGGAATGACCGATAGATCGGCCGACACGTAGGGCAGTCAGCGCCCGCTACGCATTGATTTATGTCTGTGAAGTTAGGTTGCCACCAATATCGATAAGGAATGACTTGGCACAGTTATGAGGACTGTATTTACTCAAGCTATCTGAATACTATTGAGAGTTCGGTGCTGATAAACAATAATAAATAAACATTAGATAATATCATATACATTATTCAGATTTAAACTAAGGCATTCTGACACATCGGCTAGCACGCTCGGTCTGTTGTTGTTCGTCAACTTTCGCAATGGCCGGTTTTAGGATGAGTAGCCAAAATTTTTTTATCTCATACTCCTCCGATCTTCGGAAGGCACGTTAAGCCGTTGGTCCCGGCTGCATCTCAGTCACTAGTATTAGTGACTGATGCATTGGTGGGTATCCCACCAAACGTTTTAGGCTCACGTAGTGAATTATGGGCCATTCTCTCATTCGATTATATTCCATTCCATACACAGGGAAGGCGTGAGCCCCAGCAGTGGGGACAAGAAAAGGTTGGTGATGATGATGTAGGTAACTGTATTTTCAATTTGCAAGTGTATCCCATTGAATAACACCCATATTTTTGTAATATTTTTGGGATAGCAATTTTCACTTTTGTAAGAATCATATCATATTATTTTTTATAGCTGCTCTTATCAACAACCTAAATGTTAATTTTATAGCTATAATAGTATTTAAAAATCATTAGAGTTTTGGGTTTACAGAATATTGATTTCTATATTAGCATAAAAAAATTAACCTGGACCATTTTAAATGTTCGACACTATAGTGTAATAGACATGAGTAAATTATATTGATTATAGTATAATATTCAATAAATGCTATGATTATAACCAGGAAATAATACAACTAAATGAGCTACTGGGCAGCAAACGATGGTATGTATCGACGCTGGAAAGCAAACACGTAGTAACCAGCAAAACCAAAATGGATAATAAGAGTGGAAAATCTTTATATTAACCAAAAAAGAAACATCTTATTTCTGTTTAAATTGATTAAGGAACACCTTATTTGTTACCATGGACAATTAAAGGAATTATTTATCGAAAAAATAATAGTTTTTCTACTGGTTTTGCGGGTTACTACGTGTTTGCTTTCCAGCGTCGATATATTGTTCCTTATTTATTAGAAAGAGTCTATCATTATGGATATAAAAGAAATATTACTAAATGTAAAATGAAATTGAATGGATCAATGTGAAGTAATCAGACAATTAATAGCTTAAGGTATTCGTGTCGCTATATTTTTTTATTAACACGTTCGATTGATTAGAGCTGTCAACTCCGAAGTATTATACATAGTTGTGACATAAGCATAACGAGCTTAAAATAAGAACGTAGTTTGACGAACAATTATGCAAATCCTCCATTGTTTGATTAGCATAGTATGCAACATTAAAATAGGTTACAGTTAATAAGCTAATAGGAAAAATCCTATCCTAAGATAATGATATAAAAATTACAGAATAACATAATTATTCTAATCATTTGAATCTTCCTATCGTCAAATTCAAGGGCAATACGTTTGTCTAGATTTTTAAATGGCTTGGAATTTGCAAAAAAAAACATGCAATTTCCTGTTTGAGATTCTGAGACATCGCATAAATGATTAGAAAAACAAAATGATATAATAGGTGAGATGGATCTAATCAAAGGGATCTTTTGACTCCGCCTCTGAGTACAAGCGGGGTAAAACCTAAAATTTACGATCATTTTTCACATAAATCAAAGAGCGCCCGCCAAATAATTTATTGTTATCTGTGGTCATTTTGATGTCCGTAGACAAAAGACTACCTGTGTATTGCACCGATTTTGGAGCATCCACCGTGCAGAATGGAAAAGATTTATGACTTATTATTGCGAAAATTGAAAGTGCAAACACAAATGCAACTTTTGTTAGAGTTATTTTCATTATTTTTGTTTTTTTTTTGTGCTACCTGTAGTTATTTTGTAGCAATAGGTATCGATAATTTCTTTTGTTAATGATTTTGCAGCGGTTTTAGTATGCATAAGAAAAAGTTTATTTATTTCATATATTTATTTTGCGGCATTTGGGCAGCATTTTAATTAAGCAAATATTCGTATTTTTTTTAGCTCGAGAGTTGGTTTCGATTTCTGGCAATCAGTCTTTTGGTTCAGTTATACCTTGTTTTTTTCTGGATAATTAATTCACTCTTTATGGATTCTGCTGTTTCTGATAAAACTAACTAGACAATATAAATAAGTTACACGTTAAAATATGCAAAATGACGTAGCTCTGTGTCATCATCATTACCAGTAATGAGTTCATATTACGGTGAATATTTCAGTTGTTTAGTTACAGGAGTCTCGCACGCCATGTCTGTCTACACCACAGAATAAATTTTTATATATGAAGGTCTATGAGCTGTGTCACTTTATATGAAATATCTACTTCATTATATCTTATTTCTTTGAGCGAACCGATTTGTATAATTATTTTTAAGGACTTAATCAGAATTGTTCATAGCTATGTTTTATGAAAACCTGTGCAAGCACTTGAAGGTCATCAGCTGTTTTCCGACATGATATAGAGGTAATTAAATGAATTAATGAACTCTTAGTACACTTCTAAGTTTTTTGAAATTTGATATATATAGAAAATCATAAAATACGATAATAATAAGACGAGCTTGATCTGATGCTGCAGCCAGGATAGTGTTTAGAGTACCTTACTCCTCGACAACAGTAGATATATCGTGTTTAGGCTCTTTGAAAAGGGCTCGATGAGAGGATAGACATACTGTTAGTGACAAAGACCGAGGTACATAAATAATTCTCATAGTGACGGGGGAAAGGGGGGGCGCAGTAAATAGCAAGTCAACAGCAACTTAGGTTTATCTAAGTATAATAATACTCTGGCGAGGTAGTACACTAGGGCACAAGGCTGTATAAGTTTAAAGCGCGAGAGTGCAGATGAAAGGGCGGGCAGTCCCTTACCCCGTCCCCCCGATGCAAGGAGGATACCTGGATAAAAATATTACTAATTTAGACTATAAGGGCCATCATGTATTTCTATTTTATTAGAAATGTTATATTGTGTCGGGGGTTTATGATACAAATTTTTCGTCTTTGACACCTGAGGCTTTTCTTATCACGGATTGCGATTCAAAAGTAACTATCATAGCAAGATGACTTTATATAGTTATATTTTACATGATAAGTTATGAAGACAGGATTTGTCATACCTACAGTTCGGTACATAGAGTACTCTTTTTGACTATCACAAAAATTTACAGTTCTTAGGACTGTTTATTAGACCTTCAGTTATGTAGACAAAATATGGACAACCGTTACAGCCTCGTGAGTGACGTCAGCTGTATCTTTTCATAAATTTAAATAAAGCGTCGTCGAATCAGTCGTTTAACAAAAGAGTTCATAAATCGATCGTCACACGTCATTCGAGCGGATTGAGACAGTGAGAAAATAATACGAGATTGCACTAAAGAATCGCAATGATCGATCATGTCAGGGCGTATTCGTTTTAATTTCGATCTCCCGAGATAGCCCGGAGGCGTGGTTCTGGACGATTTGTTTCCAGTCCCTCATACGTTACTAGATAGTCTAGCCGGTGGAATAAAATTGCGTTATACGGTGCAGATGTGCGTTCTGCTTTTATAACTTCTTCATATAAAATCAAAGGCACTACTTTATCTATACTAATATCATTAAGAAGAAAAATTTAATAGTTTGTTTGCGTCAAATAGGCTCTGAAACTATTGGACCAATTTTAAAAATTCTTTACCTATTTAATATACGATAAAATCTAGAAAAGTGCTAGTTATATATAAATGGTAATTATAAGTTTGAATAGCTATAGTCAAACACCCTACAGCAGGGTCAATTTGTAGATCCTATTAATATTATAAAGGCGAAAGTTTGTAAGTATGGATGTATGGATGTTTGTTACTCTTTCACGAAAAAACTACTGGACGGATTTGGATAAAACTTTACAGCAATATAGGTTATACATCAGAATAACACATAGGGTACTTTTTACTGGGAAAACTTCTCACTCCCACGGGATACCGACTTCCACGCGGACGAAGTCGCGGGCGTCCACTAGTATTTTATTACAAATAGAAGCTATTTTTATGTTTTGAAATAAAAACAAGGAATTTCAAACATTACTTTAGTTATTTCAAACTTTTAAAGTTTTATGGTAGAGTAGGAGTAAGGATATTTTCTGTCTATGTTTTTTGAATACTCTTACTCTTTAACTAGTTATCAGCAGTGAATAGTAAATAAAAATATTTATTTTATTTGACTTGATAGTACTGATATTTAAAAAGTTCATTTGAAAATAGGAACTTACTACTCAAGGACCTGTACAAAGATACAACATAACATTGGTGGGATTCATTATAGATTTTAAAGATCTTTAATTACAATTTATGGGTATTAATTCACTCTATAGATTTCAAAGTTTCCATATCATCAAATCAAAACTCATTTTTGGTTTGATGATATATTTTAGTAAACTTTAATAATTGTAGATAGAGTTTGTGTACTAAACTCCAATTAAATCTAGATGATAAATATCAGAATCGACGAAAAGGCTAACACTAAACCTGTACTCCGGAAATTACTCTAAGTTTTTTATTTCAGTCGAATACAACTTTGTGGGACATACATACATTCATACACCCACTGCAATTTAAATAAAAGCTTTTACGAATAGGTAACATATTCTTTATTCAAAAAATTGAGGTTTCCCCAGGCAAATGCGATACCAACTTTTTATGGGAAATAAAACTCTGTCCAAGTTAAAGTTCAGTTCACTGTGTAATAAAAGTATTATATGAAAACACTGTGTTTGGAATTATATTGACTACATTACATGACGTAAACTTAGTTAATACTAATAAAAGCCTTTTGTAACACATAAACATGTAGAAGTTAGAAAAAAAAATAGAATAAAAATGGAACTCGCAGAGCTTTTGTCTTGTCTATGTTTTTTATTAGTTTTTGAATTTGCTTTTACACGGTCTGTCATATCGGTTATATTGATTTTCTATTCATAACTAAGGGTGTCATCAGCCATCCATAAGTTTTTATTTTACTTTAAATGCTATTAATAGCCGGAAAGCATTGAAGAGGAAACATCAAAATATCCACTGGGTTGTCACTTAAGGAAATCAGTCAGAACTTACTGAATCTAATATCTAAGTTTAGAGCGGCCAGTATCGGTGCGCAGAGTTGCACAAAGCGCCACCTATAGGGCTGGCACTAGCGCTTTTTTTGAAAATAAAATATTGATTTTAAAAGAGTAAATATTATACCTATATTAATATTTTGAATGGGAATGTTTACGTCGCATTGGAGTGTCATTATGGTATGACTATTTATTCATGTAGAGACAATTGGTTGTTAGGAGAGTGACATAGGGTACTGTTTATCACCTTAAATTTCTTCTCTACCGCTCTAGCGAAGCCGTTGAAAACAGCTAACTATATAAAAATAAGATTTTTGTCGTTGTAATTGCATAATTATAATAAAACTATTTATTTCACAATTTGGTTCAAATCAATAATTACCAAAACTATACCTTTTCCAGTATTAATAACCAATGACTGACAATCTTATAATAAAATCAATAAAGTAACAATTTAGGTATAACCCCCGTTTTTTTTTCGAAGAATTATGTCAGATCCATCAATTAATCATTCCTAGGTGTTACTTGTAAGTCGTAACATGGTTCTATTTTTGAATTAGTTAATGTGTCTAGGTGTACTAGACTAGTAAAATATTGGTGAGACAGCCCTGTCAGACGGAGCACCGGGCGGCGCGGCGGGCGTGCATCGCTCGATAGCGGTGACAGTGACGGATTACCCCCGGTTCACGGCCGGGGCCCGCGCTAACCTACACTAGTATCATCAGCCCGATCAAAATACACTGATTCATACACGGGAACGCTGCCGCTATAATCGATACTTTTTATCCTGGAGCAGTCCGCGAATGTGACGCCTTTTTGTTTTAGCAGTGTTATATATTTAGTTGTAGTTTTTGCTGTGTTAGTTCACGGCTCACATTTGTACTATTTTTATCGAGTAGAGTTTATTTAGTAGTATTAATACGTTGAAAAATTCAATGGATACGGGAGCGTTATTTATTATTTGTTACATATATAAATTTATTTTCGTGCTTATATTTACTAAAATACTTGCACCTCTTGCAAGTCAAGTTTAGTACTGGAAATTGTGTTTTTTTTGGAAAGCGCTTTACTGTTGTCAACTATTTAAATGAATTGGCATCTTTTTTGTTTTTTTTTTTGAAATGAAATAAACATGGAAATTTTACTCAAAATATTTTTTGGAATACTGTAAGTTATTTTAGTATAAACTAGTGAGTTAAATTTTGTCATAAAAAAAAAACTTCTTTACATTGATCAGCGTCGAGCCTCTCAGTTACTGATTGCAGATGTTTTGTTTAGGGATCTATTTCAATTTAACGAAATATGTGTTAAATTAGATTGTTTAAAAATCAATTAAAATAATACATTGGGATCACTTTTTATATAATCCAACAACAAGATTTACCTACATCGTATCATATCATCGATTCATTCAAATGAATAAGAGAGAAGTTGTTTTTCTTAAAAAATAGTTGAGGCTTTTTTTGCTCTCTTGGGAATTAAAAGCATTTTAAAATCAACACGGAAATAAACATAATTTCAAAGGGCGAAGCGCTTGAAACAGCGCCCCAGCTGTGATCTATAGGAGGCAGATGAAACGTCGACTAGCCGAAGAAAGTAGCGACATTTTATTACGAGAACATACACAATCCTACAAATTACAAATTAAAGTGTTATTATTTTGTTATACAAAAAATATTATGTATTAGCTTTATTTGAACATTTTTATTGATCTTAATTAGATTGAAAAGTTCTAATATTTAATAAGTTCGGGTGTCTATTTCTTAGTCTTTACGAGTAGATTTCATCAAAATTTGTTTTATAATATTTCACCCTAGTTTGTTTATCAATTATTTATGAGTAATGCAAAGGAATGGGCCGAGATATGATGTAATTTGTTGCATCCATGATGTATTGGCGCCAGGTGAGGTCGCGTTCCCAGGCTCAGCTGAGCGACGAATGATGATGGATCATCTCAGCGTTTTGTTCTGTGTTATGTTCGGGCGACAAATTTGGGGTCATCCAGTCTTTTAGGCCAAATGTTATTGTTTGTTGTGCAAAAAATAGAGCTGTTATTTTATCCAACAAAAAATATTATGGCAACATTTTGTGGGAAATTTGTTAATAAATTTAGAGTAAGGTCATCAAATTTCTATTACGCTCATTTTATTATTTTTATATCACCTGGTATAATTTACATTTTCTGTACTAGAATTGTGGACAAAACAAGATTTCCACTTTTCTTGTCAGCATCTAAAATGAAGTTTTAAAATGTTCTCACTTATAATTTGTGGTTACAGTGCATGTCGGGTGTTTCGTTCCGTTACACGCGCTGTAGGCGGGTCAGTGGCTCGCAGTCGCACCACTCCCACAGCAACAACAGTTATAGACACAAAACGTCGTCGCGCTATACAATTCAATATATTTCGGCGTAATTTGATGTTCATTAAAGAAACTCTGGGACCGTGAACCAGAACACAATGGTTGAATGGCCATTTGTTGCCGTCGTTGAAAGGCACAATAATATTCCGAAGTAGTTATTCATGCGGCAGTTAGGAGCACTTATGAAACGAAAAATGACGTTATTTGAAAAGGGCTATTTCTGATTGGTAAATGCTGTAAGATTGTGAAGAATGATAAGTATTATGAACAGTGATTTGATGTTTGTTTTCTTTTTTATTATTATTGATGTAAATTAGAAACATATTAGCTTACCTTGTTGACTGCTTTTTCGGGTCGTTTTTTTCTCCTTCATCCAAGGGTACTCGGGGACGTTGAGTCCGCCTCCTGGGGAGGGCAGATCGGGTGCGTAGCCGGGCGGCGTGTGCTGGGGGCTGAGTTCACCGCCGCCGAGTTGTGGTAACGCTGTCATGAACTCCGCCATGGAGGGCTGGCTGTTTATGAATCCAGTCTCGGTGCAGGTCTCGAGCATAGGATGCGGCGCGCCGGCAGCTGTGACGGCTGCCAGCCAAAAGCCATTGCCGTGTTCCATGCGCGGGTGATCAGCCCCCGGCGCCGGTCCCATTGGCGGCGTGTTCCGCGTCTTCACGGCGAACTCCTCTTCCATCTCATCACGCACCCCCATGCCAACTCTTGCGACTTGCTTCCCTCTCACGGCGGGGAACTCTTCGCATTTTATTTTGCGCACAAGTGGGTTACTGTCGAGCGGCAACGCAGCGGTGTTGCATATCTCTTGCATCGCTGCCGGTGTGCGCACACTTCACGAAGCGCGATCATTCACGGGATGACTTCGCTTTTCGTTTCCCTGTATGAGTCAACATTTTCGTATCCACATTTGCGTACTTCGTTATGATTTCATTTTGACCCGATAGGAGAGCATAGTGTCTGAAATTAAATAAAAAAAATATATGTTAAATTTTATCATAAAACTTTTAATTTGATATATGATAAATATGGAGTAAAAAATGTGAGAACTAAATTAAAAGCTTATAGAGAAGGTTATCTGTCTGTTATTCTGCAATTATTCGTGAATGTTGGTCATTACCGCGGTTTGAGCCGAATAATTTCGCTGGCTAACGTTATGATGAATATGCGAGTAATGAGTGCTCCAAATTGTTTATTACAATTTAGAGACCGTCATGGAGTTACAGCACGTGACAATGGCTCCACGATAAAGTAATTATGATTATTGTTGCGAGCTCCTCATCATGTGTGGATAACACTGGAGTACTGAAGGTGAATCCTTTGTAAGTTCTTTGATGATGAACGTCAATAATATAACAAAGAATTTCACGTAAACAAATGCGTAATGAATTTATTAAATTAAATTGTTTCGACAACTAAAACGAAGAAAGAAAAAGTTGACTATATATTGTTTTAATAGTTCAAGAGTTCATCAGTTTTGGACATATTTATGTTAACCATACCGAGGTTTGTGGACGTGTGATGTGAATTTTATATGTATAGCAACTGGCGAACGAGTCACCCTAAGACCGCACGTCGAATATTCCCTCGCCTAAACGAGATGTAAACTCGAAAAATGCTCGCGCAATACGCACTCTGTGGTACCGGTGGTACGAATGCGCCGCCTGAATGTCAATTAAAATTCAAACCGCGTTCGAAATACGATTTTTTCCACTGGAATTTGTGGCGCGGCAGGGAGAAATGGCGGGAATGCGAGACTTTTTTGTTTTATTTTATTTTTGAAAATGGAACGGCTGGCGCTTAAACCTATTTTAATGCGTATGGGATGGTTGTGTGTTTTGAATTAAAATTTTCTGTCTGCACCCTGCATGTGGATGGACAATGAATGTAATTTCCTTTAATATTCTTGTACAAAAGTATCGTTTCCATTGCTATAATTTTTTATAATAGAAGATATGTATAATATATTCTAATGTAATAATAATAATTATATACCTATTACCAATGATATTAATATGTCTAGATACGCAATACATACCCAAAATGTGAAGCTACCAAAACTAAGACGTTTGTCTTAGTTTTTTCGTTTTTCATTTCAATACTCATTCAACTCCCGCCGAGAAAGTACAAAAAAATGCTCCGCAAAAACAAAGAAAAACAGTGGATAAAATACGATTCTCTTTCACAAATACACATAATACGAAAGAATATTAAGTTTCACACTTAAGTCATTAACATTTTTGGCAATAAAAACAAAATTAAAGCTAGTTTATAAAATAAAAATATTTAATTTTCACAAATAAAATTTTGACATTTTATCGTCAGTGTTGTCATTGCTATTCGCTTTCAATTTTCCCCACTATATGGGAGCCTTCTCTTTTTATTTTACGTGGCTATAATTTATCTAAATATCTTCTTTTAATTAATTATATGGCTCAAATTTAGTATAGGCAACTGTGCAAATTGTGTTGATATTTTTTTCATAGACGCACACAGATGCTAAAGTGGTTTAATTTTTTAAAGTTAATTTAATTTTTTCAAGGCGTGGAATTCGTTAGTTGTCGAGATACAACTTTTGAAAATACGTAAAATTGAACCTTTGTTTGATCTTTTGTTAACTTTAACAAATGTTTTTCTCTTAAGCACTGACTTTATCGAAAGACAAAGGGATTTATATGCACAGAGCCTACTTTCGTGAGTGTTCTTTTTTTTTCAAAGTTTTTTCATATAAATTTTCAAACTTACAGTATTTTTCTAATTGATTTTATACATATATCTACATTATTTGTTCATTCATTCATTCATCATAATGGGTGAATTTTCGAGAGCTGGCAATACAATATCAATTACCCATTTTTCCGTTCATTCTGTCGTTCGCACATATTCTGTCTTTGTTTAATTTAAGGTTTAATCGTAGATATGAGAGAGACAAATATAATAAACCTATTTATATTATAGGGTATAAATATTATTTGCAAAGCTACGTCCTGATTTCGGAAAAGTGCTACGCTTTTTGGCGCGTCTGTTGTATGGGATTGCTTCTCTAGTTGTTAAACTCATTACCTATTACAAACAAAGTCGTTTCTCGCTGTTCTCAGCGTACTGGCTGAGATCTTTTAAATTACAGAATGGATTTTAATGCGATGCGGAAGATATGTACGAGTATAATACAGGACCACGCAGGCTAAGCCGCTGGTGGAAAGATAGTACAGTTATTTGAATTTCTCGATGGCATAAGTTATATGATATTATTTGACAACTCGATTGAAAATGAAACATTACGGTATCTTTTATGGGGCTCGTACCGATCCGGTTGTGTTCGATAGAGGAAATGTAAACGCTCAAAGATACCTAGACGACGTTCTTCAAGACCATGTCATACCTTTCGCTCTGTTCATTGGTGAAAACTTCAGATTAATGCATTACAACGCACCTTGCTGTACTGCAGGATCCGTCAGTAAGTACCTTAATAAGGTCGGGATTCAAGTTTTACCATGGCCTGCACACAGTCCCGATCTAAATTCAATAGAGCACGTTTGGGACAACCTTAAAAGACGTGTCTGAGCAAGAGTACCAGTCCCTACGACTACTGGAGAGCTAAAAACGGCTGCAGTAGAGGAGTGTGACAATATCCCGCAATCGGATATTCGAGACATTATGGATGGATTGACAAACCGGTTCCAAGAAGTCATAAGCCACTGTTAATTTTTATTTTTCTTTTAATTGCCCCATTATTTACAAAATCTAAATTTTAAAATTTTCATGCAACTTGTGCATGCAACATTCGTTGAAAAACCTACTCCACTTTCCACGAATTACATTATTATCGAATTTCATATGCGCAACCATTATAATATACGTACTTACAACAATGTTCATATTCTTAAAATCCATATACCTAATGTGAATTGTTTTCGTCTATCCAAATTTTAATAACGTAATTTAAAAGCCATTGAAGTCGAAGAAATCATTAAAACATATGTTTTTTTGTAACTTAATGTTATGGTAGGTATAAATGTTCCATTATGACTATAAAGCGTTTGACTTTACACTATTAAGTCTATTTTTATCCTGTTTTGTTTGTCACCAAAATTCAAATATCACCCTCCTGTAGCAGGATGTTGGTTTTACGCGACGTTTCACTTTACCGAAGATCCCTGTAGGGGAGACCCTTAAAAACGCATAAAACTCGAACATTGCCTACTTATGAATTTGTTTATGGCCCCATTTCATAAGACACTGAAAAAAATCCGGCAGTTTTCAGAATAACAATATTGCTAATTTAATGCTTTCAAATCTTTATTGATATGAGAATGGTATAGTGATGTCTGTTGTTTTATATCTATAATAATATTGTAAGGGGAATATTGTTATAGGTCTATATAGAAATATTTTTAACTTGTAATGGATAAACTCAAAAAATACTGGACCCTTTTTAAATATTCTTTCACTAATGTAGCGCTGCGTAGAAAAGAATACGCACGTTATGTTTAAATTTCTGAAAAACAGAAAACGCCAAAAGAACTTTAAGAGATGTGAGACAGATTAATAAATTATTATCAATAGATCACGCTCAGTGTGCAATACGGTTGTTAAGCAGCTTTCCGAAGAGTTAGTCATAGAATGGGTGACAGCAAATTTATTATCTCGACTTAAAGTTAAAGACACTCAAAGCTTTGGTCCAGGCTGCATCTACAGTCGTTAACACTGGTTAACACCCACCAATTTGCACTGGGCCTGCGTGTTGGGTCATGGGCCTAGTTTCCCTATTCGGTTCATCCATAGGGAAGACTTGAGTCCCAGCAGTGAGCAAATTATTAGGCTGATGATGATTTGTAAGTCTGTGATCTTAATATGTGTTTGGTTGGTGTCCCTAATTTAAAACAGGCAGATAAAAGATATCTGTTACTGACATCATAAAGAACGATGACACATCACTTAGACCTGAGATGGTACATACAGAAAAGTTCCTCTTCTGTAAGTGGGATGATTGAAATGACTCATAAGAAATGTATGAGTGTGTCGAAGAAAGCAAAGTGAGGTGAACGAGAGGGAAGACGAATGGAGAATTTGACATATGATATGGACATTTGTGTCAAAATATGAAAACCTACTTTAAAATGCAGTAATTTTAGCTCTTTTTCAATTAATTTATGTCTTTTTTACGTGGGAGTATATAAAGTTTACTGCAAGTATTTTTGCTCGTAATTTTAGTATCAATCAAAAGACATTCATGCCATTAAAAAAAAACAGTAGGTATATATAGTCAGTGCTAATATATAACAAAACATCTGCGTGCGGGAGTCGTTCTATAACCAGTGGTTAGGGCCCAATTTGCCAGCCGTAACGATTTCCTCTTCGGGGAATCGAATGGCGTGCGCCCGGATGCTACCCACACATACACACGTACTCTCCATTATATACTTCGATAACACAAACCAATGTAGCCACTAATACATCGAACAGTTTGTCCACACGTGCTTTAATAACTCCAAAGTCAAGTTTACGATGTATGCGTGAGGCTGTTCAAAAATTGTTTCAATTACTGTACGTATTACGTACATATTAAAGAAGCCGGTTTTGATAATGTCCGGTTAAGGCGTAATTGGTAGTCGAGTTTATGTATGGCAAGGTATATTTTTACTTAAATGGCCTCGGCTTTCTGACTTTTCTTGTTATTTTACGTAAATTGTTAGTTGTATACGATTCTCGTAAGTCATCAGTATTGAGGTAATATTGTAGCTCATTATACTTTTAAAGGTGTACCAGATACTACGATGTTGTAGTAAGTTCTAATTACTTCGTACAAAAGAC